CTCTCTCTCTCTCTCTCTCTCTCTCTCTCTCTCTCTCTCTCTCTCTCTCTCTCTCTCTCTCTCTTTATATATATATATATATCCCCACTTTTTTGTCGATAGCAATAAAATTCGCCTAGAGTTCCGCCTAGGTGGGCAGCCACTCCAAATGCCCAGACATGCCCTAGGTGGTCTTGCTCCTAGGAGCCCGCCTAGGCAGCACCTCAAGATGGGCGCCTGGATGCAACTTGGCCAAGGGTGGAAAAAGGCCCTCAGCCAAGGGCAAGAAAGTATTCCCTGCCCCCCCCCCCCAGAAAAGCGGGGAACAAGGTTTGGGGGGGGACATTCTAGCCTCCCAAACCCCTGTGTGCCTAGTGCTGCCAAAAAAAAGGAAAAAAAAAAAGGGCGTACATGGTCAGATTTACAATTTCACCCTTTGCTTATCTCATCCCCCAAAATCTCAGCTTCCCCTCACCTAAAATCTCCACATAGTTCAGCTCCCTTTGTCCAAAATCTCACCCCCACCTCCCACTCCTCTCCCCAAAATCTCTCTCTATAGCTCTCTACTCTCTCTAAAACTCATGGATCCACCCTCTATAGATCTTCAAATTCTCTCTAAAACTCCCTAAGTCTTGGCATAGTTCGATTCTTTTCTCTGCCATTAACGAGAGCAGAGACAATGGGTTTCTCTGATTTTTGCAGTCTTTCTGCTTTTCAATTATTGGGTTCTTCCCTATTAACCAAAGGAGCAAAATCCATATTGGAACCAGGTGTTTTTCGCTATAAAAGGATGGACCGGAGGCTCCTTCAACCAACATATCGAAGGTCACTGTGGACTGGACAGGATGCCCCTCCCAGTTTTAAGTCGAGATATTTTGTCACAATTGACCAACATATCAAACTTGGATCAATCTTATATGAGATCTCTTTGGAAATTGATTAACCTGGAATGTATACCCTCTTTTGTCTTTTCTTCATTGGCTGACCGAAACGCATAAAATTTTGATTTTCATCTCTTTAGGCAAGCCCTTTTACCACTCAGATATTTCAGATACGAATTTCAGGTCCAAAATTTTGGAACTTTGATTATTGTGCATGCTGGTTGTATTGGTCTTGGATGACGGACACCATAGCCATTCAAAGCACATAGAAAAGGGTTTCTCCTGATCTACACCCCCAAATTTTTGGCTCAATGAGTCAGAAAATAAGCTTAAGGTAAATCCATTTTCCTTGATTCTAAGACCATGCTCTAAAATAAATGTTTCTTTGCTAATCATGATTGAATATTTCATTCAATCATCCATTGCTTTCAGCTCCTTCTAAATTCCCAGTTTCCTATTTTATAATTCTTGTAGGGAAATGGTAATTTTCATCAATTTGATTTCATTTGAATTCCATGTTTTCTACACTGTAAATTTCTGTAGAATCTCGGGCTTTTGTTATGATTACTTCCAGCAAAACCCACTTTTTGTGTTCTACTGTTCTGTAATTACAGAAGGTAGAGAAGAGAGGGTGGGGACACAGAGAGAAAAAGGGATAGAGAGAGAGAAGACAGGGCCACAACCATCCTAAATATGTTAATCCCCCAATTTGGCTGTATAGCGGGGGGGTCTTTGGTCCCAAAGTAAAAAGGTCGGGTTTGAGGTGCTGGTTTCTGGTGCTTAAGTATGGAGGAGGGGGTATGGTGTCCACCCTACATTTTGAGGGCCTTAGATACATTCATTCAAACCCAAATTTTTACACGCAATCTATTGGGGTAAATGAGATTGTGAAAAGGATTTCCACAAAGAACTATAAAATAACTTTCCTTGGAGAAAAAGAATGCAGTTAATGTGGGTCTTCCATGTCAAGCATTCTATAATTGTGTCGGATCGAGGCCTTGTGAGGAATCTCTTGACCTCGATCTGATAGTCAGAAAAATGGGCAGTCAGTGTTCTTTGTTGAGGTAGAATACTTTTGAGGCACTTCTATGGTGTGCATCAAATTTTATTTTTGGGGCTGGGGCCCTAGGATGATTAGGGCTTATCCCCAAAATTTGGGGTCCAAAGGATCCCTCTCGCTATGCTTTTGAGCTACAGTGGACACTATAACTGTCTACCCTTGACAGACCACAAGTTTTTTCATATATACATGCATGGCACTAGCTATTAATACAGGTAATGAGGTACATAAGTATGCAACCGCTATAAAGTCATCAACAAAACTAAATTTCATAAACGATACTCTGAAACTTGTTCACACACAGTTCTAATACACTGACTTTGATGTAAGGATGAGGCTTCTATGAGTAGGCCAACTCGTATGTACATATGAGGACCCCCACAAAAATTCATTTTAGATCATTTTTTTTTTCAATTTTTTTTTTTTGTAGATTTATCATCTAGGCCAAGATGATCATAAATATGAAAAGAAAATAAACTTTAAAAATTAAAAATATAATTTTTAGTAATTTTTTATGCACCGTCCATACCTTATTTATGGACGATACACTTCAGATAATGCCCACCTTTAGGATGGACGTTTGTAAGTCAGCGGGCTCTTGCCCCCGCTGACTCATGAAACAATCTTCCTTGATGCAATCATGTTATTGACCAGTAATATTGACATGCAAACTAATCTCTAGCTCCATAAGTCTGTAGTTGCCACAATGCATCCTAACAACTTATTTCAAAAGAACAATTTGGTACATATCAATTGTGTTTTAATTAATGGGAAAATACCACTTTTCCATCCTTATTGCCTTCACCAGACAAGGTTGCCAAAGCTTTTGTGTAGTTTCTGAGAAAGATGACAAAGCCCAAGTACTTCCCATTGACATTCATGATAAATATAAACAGGATATGATCCCTTCACAGCGAAGCATCAGATATATATGTTAATCAGTAAAGCAATTGAGAAAGTTTTAGAGTTAAAACATGCAACTACCACTAACACAAATGCTATCCTGTAATCAAATAATATTAAGATATACTTAAGAGATATGAACTGCCATAGCAGAGCTCAGGTTACTGCAAATTGTTTTGAATATATGAGATAGTGATATTAGTTGAACTGCCATAGCAGAGCTCAGGTTCCTGCAAATTGTTTTGAATATATGAGACAGTAACATTAGTTATGACACTGGACCATCCTCAAATTTGAAAAGATAAAAGTTTCACTTATTTTCAAGTTCGAATTAGAGTCTCCCTTCAATAGCAATTGGCTGGCACTCTATCCTGGCACTCTATCCTAAAAAATTGCCATATCCAAAAGAAACTTCCATCACTATGAATCAGTACGACTTAGTCGAGACTAACTGGGACTCCCAGTAGAACTGAAACTCATTTACTTCAGCAAATTTTCAACAATTCGAAGATGAAAAATTGAAAAGATGATAACATGACGAAGTAGAAAACACTCTATGCTCTATGAATTGTTTGACAAAACAATAAAAGAACCAAGCATGCTGAAACCTTCAAACACTATTGCTCATTGCATATGAAATAAAGAAAGAAACCAGATAATGTACAAAAGAAGAAGGGGAGAACAAACTATAGACGTTCGCCCATTCACCCAAATTTCGGTAATTTTCAGACTGTCATTGCCAAAGAAAACAGTAATTAAATGGAACCAGTGAATTTGGAAGGAACAATAACAAATTTGAATATAGGATTGAGACAAAAATGAAGCAATAATTAGCACACCTCCTCCATTAAAGAAATTAGTCTTGATGGGTCTCTTCAAAACATGGCTAGAGAGAGAAACCCCCTTCTTTGAGAGAGAAAGGGCATTGACAACGGGATGTAGAAGCCTATGTGAAGAAGCATGCAATGATGGCGATGGTGACGATGTGAAGACCATTCCTTTGACGGAAGCTGCTCCAGCCATGGTGTTTCTCAATCCCAAACCTCGCTAAACCAGCAGTAAGAATTCCCAGAGAGAAAATTAGGGTTTTGTTATTGAATTATCAGATTGAATGGATTTCGTGACTTGGATGGGAGAGGTTTCTGTCTCCTGTATCCCTCCCCCTCTCTCTCTCTTCTCCCCTTTCTCTCTCTACCCGTTCTCCCCACTCTCAGTCTCACTCTCGGTCCTCTCTCTCTCTCTCTCTAAATCGTGTGGTTCAAAACTTCGTGCGTTGAGCTTTGTGGGTCATTTTGCGGGAGGATCATGAACGCTCCAAACAAGAAAGAGTGCGTATAGCATGATCCAGCGGGATTACAATGTAATTAACTCCCTCGGCTTCGTATTCTTCTTTTGGATCAGAATTATTATATGATTATTTTTGGATAAAAACTAATTTTCATGTTCTCCGAACTTGGCCCCTGAAATTGGATTTTTTTTTTAAAAAAAAATATCTTGTTATCTTTTATTTTTAATTTTTATATCTTATTAAGTTTATGAATTAAAAATATTATTTATAAGCAAAATGACATCTATCTTTTCTATCTTCCAACCCCTTGAATTCTTTTGACCATGTAGTATTTACTTCAACAACCTATAAAATGACTTTATATATCTCTCTCTAAAACTCCATCTCTCTCTTTGGCAAAACTCTATTTCTCTCTAAAACCCAAACTTTATCTCTCTCTCAACACTCTATTTTTCTCTTTAAAACTCAAACTCCATCTCTATCTAAAACTCAAACTCCATCTCTCTCTAAAACCCAATCTTCACCTCTCTCATGTATATAAGAAGGTGTACTCGTGTTCGAGCTCAAGCTAAACTATTTGGCTAGTAAACTCACTGAGAAACGAAGAGAGAAATAGAGTTTTAAAGAGAGAGAGATAGAGTTTGAATATGATGTTATTTTAGTGTTTGTTTTGGTCGATAATGATCAAAAAGATCAGGTCTTGTAAGATAGAAGAATTAGAGACTTTTACTTACAAATAATATGTTTAATTATTGACTCTCATAAGATATGGAAATATGTTTAATTATTGAGTCTCATGAGGTATGGAAGTTAAAAATAAAGTATAAAGAGATATTTTCCTTTTTCTTTTTTTTTTCAAGCCAATTTAACTGTATTTCCTTTTTTTCATTTGAAGTCGATTGCTGCACTCAATAGGTTACATTTGATGCTCCGTAAATACTTTTTACTTGAGACTTACCCAAGGGAGCAAATGAACAGCATGCTCCTACAGGACTTGCATATCTTTTTGCAATAACACACAAACATTATGGCAATGATTCTATAGTATTATCATTTAAATTAAGATTTAAATGAGAGGAAAATTTATCAAAATGTACTGAGAACTATTTAATGCCTTTATTTTTAATTAGTTACAAATAGTCGGTCGAAATCCGCATTATTCTCAAAATTAAATAACTAAGCTTCCCTATATGGATAATTTGTTCATGGATGAGCTTTTTACAATGTTGGGGCTTTACGAATGTAGAGGATAAAAACCAATGTTTAAAATAAATAAAGAAAAAAATAGTGTAAAAAATTTAAAAAATAATAATATCAAGATTTATGTTGCTCCACAGATGGCCTACGTTTATGAGACAACAAAACTCTCTTCCACTAATCATAAAACTACTATGCAAGCATAAAACATACAAAGGTTTTCAAGTTCTATAATGGGTTCAGCTACTAATCATCAGGTAACCACATGCACCTCGAAGACAAACCACTAAAAAATGAATGAAGGACATGCCCCTCTTGTTTGTCCATCCATCACAAATGATTGTTCACCCTGTGCAGGCTTGGATAGCACTTTTCGCACTCTAGCCAAGTATTGTCAAAGCCCAGCCAATAGTTAGACCTTGCTAGAGTGCTTTGCTTATTGGCTACACATGTAAACACTATTGGGATTGGGCAGCAGCAAAAAACCAGCAAGCATAGGCTTGAAAGCCAAGAAGTAAGGGCTAGTACGGCGCGTTAGCACATTCATTTTCTTGTTTGTCTTCGTTGACTCAAAAGCAAGAAGCAAGGTCTAGCACGGCGCTAACGCGTATCTATTTTCTTGCAAGAAACAGGGGCTAGCACAGTGCTAATGCGCACCTGTTTTTTTGCTTGTATTTGCGCCTATAAGCGCGTTAGCGCACTATGTTTTCTTCTCAGCTAGCGCACACTACGTTTCCTTTGCAGCTCCCAAGAAAGTCCTACACCAAGTGAACTTCTCATTCCCAATACGTTTAGTCAACAATTCCACTTGATTGCCATCCCTATGAGTTTTTTACAATAAATTTTTTCCATCTTCTATCACATTACAAATAAAGTGATACTAATACTAATAGGTCATGTCATGAAAACTAGACAAGGCATTGATTATCATAATAAATTGGTATCCCTTACACAACTCAGAAACTCATAAAGTGACATGTTAATCTAAATTGCTTCGTTAGATGCATAAATAAGTGATATACAATTTAACCTCCGTAGAAGACAAAGCTATCATAGACTGCAACCTAGATAACCAACTAACTACATCACCTCATAATAAAAAAAACAAATCCAGTAGTCGACATTCTTTAATCCAAATCACATGCAAAATCTGTATAATAGTGACAAGTGACTTTCAAGTCCATCCTATTGCAACAAGTACCAACATTACAAGTTCCTTTCAAATATCCAAGGATCTACTTCACAGCAGTCCAGTGATCACGACAATAAATTTGCAATATATTCGTTCACAACTTCTATTGTTTGTACTATATTAAGTCTTGTACTAACTATAGCATACCTGAGGCTCCCTGCTGCTGATGAATACATTACTCGAGACATTTGTGTCTTGTCTACTTCAATACTAGAACATTGTGTTGAAGATAACTTAATATTCACAAAAAATAGGGTGCAAATTGGTTTGACATTCTATAGATTGAAGCGCCGCAAAACCCTATCCACATAATTCTTCTAAGTTAACTAGATTTTTATGTTCTTCTTATCTTCAAGTATACTTATCCCAAGATATCAATTTTATAAAAAAAATTTACTATATTTGAATTTCAAAAACAAAGATCATCCTCTACCATTCTAGTAGTTTTTCATACTTTATTTGTCATTCGTTGTGCAAAACAAGCACAGTTTGTTCAAAACCCAATTGACAATTCATTTAGGAGGAGGAAGCAATAGCATGCTTCATTACTAAACGTATCATGGAAATGCCATCGTGCTATTGATTCAGATATCAACTGTTACTCATAAGTCATAACAAACCAAATTTGTAAGCAGATTTTCAAGTGTTTATATTTACTGACAATTTGCTTAAATCAAATATAGATTTGAGGGTAGATTTATATTCAGTCTCTTGGGCTTCAGCTTAGTTGTAGATATGTTAATTTATGCATTGGAGGTAAAAAGGTTTGGTTTTTGGAGTTTGTCTCCAAAAAGTATAAATAACCTATAATTTATTTTTTTTAAGAAAATTTTTTGTTTGGCTAATCCCAACCTCAACCATCATGGATACGTGCTAAAAAAATTAAGCCTAAAAATAGTCTATATTGTAAGGAAAAAGTTTATATAAGGATGCAACCTTATGGTGTACCTAAAAAATCCATTGGAAAAGGTAGTTTTAATGTTGAAAAACCATTTGATTGATGATCTCGACATCCAAATGTACGATC